TAGGGAGCGAAAGACATCTGGGAAAACATATTATAAAGATATTTATAGCCTAGCCTCTGCTCTAGCCATGCAAAGCGGTGTTATGTTCATTCACCTCCAAGATGTACGTGCAAGATTAGGCCGTAAACCCTTCAACAAAACACTACACAAAAAGAGCCCTCAACAAAATTATGCCACGGCATAAAAAGCAGAGCAGCAAGGCCCACGAGCTGTACTTCAGTCTCTTCACCAGCAATGTCAGAAACTGGCACCAGCAAGACTGGTTCCTGTGGCAAGAAATAACAGTCCCACAGGAACACTGCCAGATGAGAGGACATTTAACAGCATCTTCCAGTACCCAATATCCCAAAGGAGATAGTCAGTATGACTAGTCTCTGCTAGATTAACAAATAAGTTTGAGAAACACAAACTTTTACCTCCCATATTTTATAATATTAGGCACAGTCGCACTGAATTTTCAAACCACTCTAACATTGTCCAAGTTTTGTTGAAAATGCTTTATTAACACAGAAAGCGCTTGTACTCCCTGCCCAAGAGAATGCTGAATAATCACTACATCTGTATAACCACTACATCGTACTCTATTCAACATGGCCCAGTTGGGTGTGTCACTACAGTCTGAGGAGACAGTAACTGAGGGCAGTGGTATCAACAAACCTACGTGGTAGCCACAAATACTGGGCAAGGAGCCAGAGTTACTGCCACTATCATGGTGACACAAGAGAACGGAATCTGGCAATGTATTTTCTGCACACGTGCAGCTCTTGCACAGAATTACAGTCTGCTACTACCAACTGCAAAGTTGACCCAAGGGCAGGACATGGCTCCTCAGGCTGCTAAGGTTAAACCATTCAGTCCTATTTTAATCTGTTAGAACCATCAGTGCACCAGTAGCAGAATGGAACCTGAAAATCCTACCAGATTGGGCTGCAGTAACTGGTAAACCTGGTATTTCCAGCCTGCAGTCAAAAGATCCCCCCCCCCCCTTTTTCTGTTTTTAAAGCAGCAGTCAAAAGCCCTCTTGAAGCCTTGTTTATAAGCAAACTAGTCTCAAAGGCTGGATTTGCATTGGCAGGGTTTGGAGCCTGCAAAATAAACCTTTCTAGGTAGTGTTTTCCTTCTGCCTATAAGGGAGGAATGGTTTCTAGTGTAATTTCTCCCAGACTACAAGCCTTTCAAATTACACTGAAGAGAATGCCTAATTCAACACAGCTGGCCTCACCAAGCTTCCCTGGAAGCCTCTGCACTCTGGGCATGCACCTGCAACCCTTCCTTTAGGAAGGCAATGAATGGTAACCACACAGTCTGACAGCCTATTGACAGGGTGAAATCACTACTGCCATTCAAAAATAGAACATACAGAAGTCCTTACTTAGTTGCAATTTCTTTGGCAGAAATCATTCCATTCGGGTGATACTTTGTGTTTTAGTGTATAGTGGACACCACAAAACATCTTTAAAAAAGTGTATTTCTTTAATCAACACTAAGGTTCCAAACTGAGTGCCGAATTACAGTCTGACACAAATTCTACAACCAAGTGATAAAAATCCTAGAAAAATGGTTTTCAGTTACCTACAGTTTTGTCTCTACTGTCCTGTGTTCTCCATTCTGCAAGGACCTTTGTGCTACTGATGTTTTGCAGATAATGGTGATTAAGTGAACTAGACCACCAGTTGTGCTCAACTTCTACTCCACCCATAACTGGCTATGCTAATGAAGGGCCTCTGGTAAGAAAACAGCACTTTGGCTTCTGAAAATTATTATTGTAATAGGAAAGCCAGAAAAATTATAAAGCAGCTGTTGAAATTTCAGCTGTGAGTATAGTGACTTTCCATGCTTTCTAAGACTTCATTCTTTCAACACTCCTAGTGAACAAAGCAGAAGTATTTACTCTACTGCAGTTCATGCACTTCTTTAAGGTTCTAAACTCTTTACGTTTCAACCAAGCTTCATGTACCAGAAAGAAATAACACGATTATTTGTTAATTAAGGTTTGGGATCTTAATTTGCAAGAAAGATTTCAAAGATGCAATGAAGTTAATGTGAACTTCTTGTAAAAGACATCCCTAAACTTTCCTCTGGTAGATGCAGACATTTGGAAAAACCTTGACTTCTTGTCGTAGGTAACTTCAAAACCACTTTTTTCAATTCTGCGCACAGTCCTTTTACACGGGTGGAGCACACATCCTCAGATGAGCTCGCTGCCAAGACTTGTACTGCTCCCTCACTTTATGATCATAAATGTGTCATGAAAGATCATATGATCAAAAGACATCTAAATTATTCTGCTGCATAGACTTGAACACTAGAGATTAGACTAAAAAAATGCATCCCATCACACTGCAGGTATACATCTGGTCACACGACAGGTAGCACAAGCGGTTTGCAACACGGGACTGAATGCATAGACAGACCCTTGCTCCTATGAGATGTTGAGCAGTTGCATTTTTGCTGTGTCATAAGAGAGAAACTGTGAAGACAGGACTGTTTTGCAGAAAGTCTATCTGACCTGCAGAACCCCTTCCTGGGCCATATCTAACCAGGCTGGGCAATCATCCTTTACGCTGTTCTCCATGTGAAATAGCAGGCTGTGCCAAGGAAGCCGACATCTAGGATATGGCTTGCTTTTCTAAAAACATTTGGACACAGAAGATACTATGACATACTTCACGTGCTGAGAACAATAAGCATAGTGCTTATAAGTTAACTGAAACTAATGCACCTGTACAGCACACATATCAAAGGAAAAAGGATTCTTCATCTTGAAGAAATCATCACCTGTAAATCCTGGCACATGCCTGAACACAATCTCTATCCCTTCACTTACCTCACACAATCCAATTTGCAATCCCACTGACACACTCTCCTTCTGAACTTTTTAAAGAATAAAGCTTTGAAGTTTCCCAGATCCCTTTCAAAAGAGTTTACAGATTCATGCACCATCACATTATAAGATGGTTCAAAACCTGACATTGCACAGAGGGGAAATATGGCTATTAATGAAATGTCACAATCTGTGGACTTGAAGAGCCATAATCAAACCCAAGGTGCATGGGATACTTGGGAACTGTCTGAGCTATGAATAGAATCAGAGTGACTCAGCAGAAGGTAATGAGAATCCAGTTCTGTATCAGTACTGGAGATAAAATGTGGTGGGGGAATGAAACAATCACACACAGCAAAAGATCACACACAGAGGTGCTGCCTGGAGTTCTGCGCAGTGTTTTTACAACTCACTACTAAGAAACTGAAAGTCGTCTTACAACCAGCCAATACGTGTTCAAGTCCATGCAGCAAAATCACTCAGATTTTCAGATGCATTTCAAATAGCAGTCTCTATTCTTCTCTGTTCCTGATGTTTCTTTTCCACTTCCAGCCTCCTACTGATAGGGCATGTGACTAGAAGCATCTGACAACGTCCACACTCATCTCCACATGCTGCTTGAGCACTTTTTCCATTCACTTTTTTTTACACCCTTCTGCAACTGACTCCAAAGATTGTATTATCAAGTCTGAAGTTCCCTGATCATTGAGTGCTTAATGCTTAAGTACTGTGCAAAAAACCCGAGCAAACACCAAGTCTTTTAAATATCAGCCAAACAGTACCAGCACCTTCCTCCCTACCCCCACACCAAGGATGTTAATGTTTTCAAATCTTCTAAAAAAAGCCAACTCACATTTACAGCCAAACCTGGCCAATCCATACTTAGTATTGTAATGCACAGCCTCACGTGATGGCATAAAAAAGCATTAATTATCTGCAATGTTACAACATATTATTCTGTGATGAACCACTGACGTATTAATCCAAACAAACCAGATCACAGCACTGCTAGGTGAAAAGGAGGGCTGAACTCATTCAAGCTGTAGGAGACCCTGAAGCAAGGTCTACAGCAGCATGCTGAAATACCTATTAGCTCTTCAGAAGCTACAACATTTTCATACAGAAATCCTCAATTACTCTGTAGAAAATTTCAAAAACTTAGACAAACACTGTGAGCTGTCAATAGTATTTTAAAGAAAAATAGGAACAAATTCTGGCACTTGGCATCTTTCATCTAAGTGTTCTGAGCAGCTTTGTAAGCACAGGTACCAGAAAAGATTTAAGTAAATGATACCCGTTCTGGGGCAGGGAAATTGGCACTGCAGGCATCAACTGAGCAGTGAAGGAAAGCCAGGAATTCTAATGCCAACCACCTAGCTGCTCTTACCTGCCGATCATGATAGTTCTAATGAGATCTGTGTGACTCCAGTAATGGGAATACAGAGTTTAAGCAGTATATTGTTTGTGACCCTCTATCGTAATATTCATGGTTTTCTACAGCCACATGGGAGTGTCCAAAGAAGAAAGTATTTCAATAAAACAAAGAAACTTGAGAAAGTTATTTTATAGAAGTTTTAAACACTCCATAAATGGGAAAATTAACAGTCATAGGCAGAAATATAAATTCTGTTATAATTTTATGCTAACTAGTAAGTATTTATTTATAATACTTACTATTATAAGTAAAGAATATTCCGTGCATTTTCTTTAGTATCAAAGTTCTGATGAAATCTACTGAACAAATTTCAGGCCCTGCCTGCGTTAAAGAGGAAGCTTATCTTACACCGCTTGTTATTTCTAATTCCCATATGGCAAGTTTTACAATACCTATGTGATTAGGGCAGGAAGAAATTTGAATTTGTTTTAACATCAAAAATTGATCAGGATTAAGCCACCATATTTTTCAACCAGACAGGAATACAATCTGTCCTCTTCAATAGTTTACCACCATATGTACACACAGACATAATTATATTTTTTCTTTTCCCTGATTAACTACAAAGTCGTCAACTTGTAAGTACTCTAACATGAACAGTCACCATGAGCAGCTTATTTTTTCACTGAAAAGTCAGTATCAGATACCAGACTTACTTATCTGATGCAAGAAGAATATTCCTGGTTCAGTGGCTATGTTTCTACCAAACACAGAGAGAAAAGGAGGAAATGCTGTACTTACTTGTTAAAAAGGTTCAGTCCAATCCTATAATGGCGTTTCCTGATAACATCATTACTGAAGGCAGGGGAATCCCAGCTGTTGCGAGTTTCTTTGTGGTATGTTTGTTTGCTCAAGGTTTGCTCCCTTAGGCTGTCTCTAGAAGAAGATTCTGAGCTGCAATTTATTGTATCATTAGAGTTGGAAGTGCTGTTGATGCTGTCATTGTCTCCATCAGAATAATCAGACTCTGACTTGCTTTGCCTATTTGCTGTGCCGTTGATAGCTAAATGACTATCTATAGGCCTAGCTCTATGTCTTGCCTCCTGTTCCTCTCGGGATATAATCTTGGCAGGGATGCTGTGAGGGGTGTGTTTTGGGCTTCCTTGTTGACTGGTGATCCCTCGGTCATATGCATTTTGTCTCTTTAGTGAACCTCTCTCTGAGCGATCACTCAAGTCCACTGAACTGTCACTGGGTGGCTCTATAGTTAGCAATGGTAGATGATCCATTCTTATCCTCTGTTCCTGACATTCCAGTGATGGGGTACTCCTGCAGCTCGTATCAGTGTCTATCTTATCATCTTTGTTGGTCATGGACCAGTACTCTTGAGAAGAGTTCACGGACCGGAGCCTCAAATCAGATTCTGTGCTGGACGGTCTGTCTACTGACTGGGAAAGTGGAAGGGGTGGAGATAACTCTTCCTCATCAATATATAATGTAACATCACTGTATGATGCTGTCATCTCATCGAGCTTCCTGTGATCCACATTGTGAATCGCTGGTTTAGTCTGAGCACAACTATCCCTTTCCATTTCACGACTTCTGACTTGATCTGAAGTCTGGACTTCATCAGAATGTAGACTACGGCAATTCAGTGCATCATCAATGGACTCTGCAAGGGATTTCACTTGCCGGGAAAAAGCATCCTCCAGTTCTGTTATAGCATCAGCAAAATCAGTAGACGCTGCTGGAGACTTCATTGTAGCTGACTCTCCAAGGTCACCACATTCAGACTGTACCAGGGATCCCAGCTTTGACCCATCATTTGTAACAGAAACTTGTTTTCCTTCAAAGTAAGAGCTGTGGACTTTCTCAGGTCCTTCAAATGAAAACTGCATTCTCATATTGGACAGTACAATGCGTCTTGACATACGATTTTCAGACATAGAACTTCTAAGACGCTCAAAATTTTTGTTCATCTGATACTGGCGAAAAGCGGTTTGTATAGTACGAGCAGCATGTCTAGTTATGAGACGGCCTCCATATTTCCGTTCTAGCATTTCCACCTGTGAAAGTGTGAACACAATTACTTTGTAGCTTGATGCAGGTTAGAACAAAGTTAAAGTATAACAAAAAAAAATTTCTTTTCACAACTTGAATTTTCAGAAATTTTTCAAAGCATATACCGTTTTTGAAAGTAAAAACTCAAAGCTCCAGACTAACAACTGCACCAATAGTGAACTGAACAGTCATTTGCAAGTTCCACCATGAAAAAATACAGACAAAAATATGATTATGTGAATATTGTCATATAAAATTAAGGTGTTGGCAATTTCTGTGTGTGTTTAAATTTTGGTTTTCACACATTAGCATTGGTGTGCCCATGCCAGAGACAAGACAAAACAGCACTCTAATGCAGCATAATGCAGTCATTCTTCCTGTGGGGACAACTGTAGAGAAGTGAAAGCCAAGTATAATGCAAATTCCCATATTTTGGGAGTAAATTCTAAAAGTGGCCATCAGCTTTCCAGGCATGCATGGCTTTCTACATGAATAAAAACCAGGCAGCATCATTTCACACAGGCCTGACATCAAACCAAACCTGAGCCTTCCAGACCATACGCTTCCAGAGAGGTTTCTCTGATAGAATATACACACACAGTCTTCCTCAAACCAAGAACATATTTCAGACTTTCTAAATACAAATTCAAATCTATTTTCATTCTTGCAATTACACTCAAGACTGCCAGTGTTTCCAATTAACAGAATGAATATGCAAAATAAATACATTATAAATGCTATCAATTTAACCTAGTGAAAATGACATGTCAATACTTTTGGAATACTCATTAAATATTTTTAAACCTTTCCTTCCAAACATGAAAAGCATTGCTTATTTAAAAAACACCGAACAAGATGAATGGCTAGTTTTATTTCAATTTTTTTTTCTCCAATATTTAATTTCTGTTCTGAGCAGTCTTTGCTGGATCCATATTATTCACAAACACAGAACATACATCACAAATCAATATGTGTAGTACTACCACTCCCATTTTTTCTGGCAGGATTTTCATGTAAATCCATGCAATTTCGTAATTCTCCAATGATTCAAAAGTAATTTCTCCTCACTTGCAAACCCAGGTACCCTTTTTCATTAGACACCATGTTTTAATTACTTACATTACAGCACTTGCACACACAACCTCTCCCTTTCATACTTTGGAGATCTCTCCAGGTAATTGTTACACTGAGATATTGATATACAGAGCGGCTTCATCTGCCTTCTATGGAAGGAACTAAATGCTACTAAAAACTATTTTCTAGACCATTATGTCTACCATTTGGGAGTAGTTGACATATTCCTTTCAGTGCTATTGCCTGGTCCAGCACCTTCCATTCCCCCTTCACATTAAAGATGATCTCCTGTTCAGCTTAGTGTTTTTAAATGTGTATTACTAATTTTTTTTTTTTATTCTAGATGCAAAAAATATACACAGTTATTGGCATAATTGAGGAGATCAACTTCTCAGATGGGTTCAGATCAGGATTATTGCTAAGGAATTGTTCTTTTGACTGTATCTTGAAACTTCTTTTAACTAAGCTCAAAAAGCTGTGACTGATCTCTGAGCTGGGAGTCTGTAAATCTCTGCATAATTTTCTAGTTTGTCTTTTAAAAAATTGTTTAGCCTTTCACCCCCAAATATAATCCTGAACTTGCACATCAAAGAGGCTATGAGGTTACTTGCAAAGCATTTTGAAGATTAAAAAAAGTGTGCCATTGCTGCCACACATTTGCTACTACTTCTATCCATAGCACACATTAGGTCACGTGTGTTTAAATAAATCGTAAGGGATTATTTTGCTAAACAAATCTCAAAACAAATGATGAATTGTTAATTTAGTTGTCCTCTCAAAATTAAATGTCAAACCTAAAGAAAAGAAAACAAGCATAGCTGGTGTGAAAGAATAAAACAAAAAGTAGTATTCTGTAAAATTAATTATCTGGACATTATTCTTGCAGACAGGCTGTTGTCCTTCAGGTTTACACAGAAAATTACATCATCATCGATTATCATAAATTAGGGGGTTTTGGTGGGAATTTTAATTGAGAGTATTTTGGAATTTGCCTAGATGATTTACTAGACTTGTGACTGATACTTCTAATATATTTTAATGCATATTTAATGCACCTTTTTAATGCATATTTAATGCACACTGCCTTTAGGTAAAGCCTTGGACATTTTCCTAAATAGTTTTTAAGTATCTTCTGAGATTTCAATGAGAGCTTTTCAAGAGCAGTAAGCAACTCTTCAGTATCAAGCTTCCTTTATGTATCATTAACACTTTTTATTGTGTAGGACTCCCCAAACAAATACAAAATAACATCTGCAGTCCTCATTTTCTATCAAACCAGCATAAAAGGACAGATGGAATTAGGCTCTGTGGAATATCTGCAGTGTAAGAGCCCTCTTTAGTAAGCTTAACACTCTGTATCAATCCCTTCTGAGACATCTAGTAACAACGACTGCCGAAGATGGAAGAGGAAGTAACATTTTAGATCTCAAAAGGAGGTCCAATTTAATAGCAGAGCTGGCATAATCTAGATCAAGGATCAGGAATTTGTTATGTCCCCACTCCAATATAGAATTTGGTGAGCATAAAGGCTAAAGTAAACTCATACTTGCTTACTCCAAATATTGGCTTTAATTTTAAGTCAGAACTCAAGCTCTGTTCTTCCAGCCTTCTCTACTACAATGATTCTCCACAACAAACAGATGGCAAGGAAGACTTAGCCCCTATAAATTTCACTATCAATGTGTGGTCCAAAATCAGGAGTAGTTTGCTCCCTCCCTGCAGAATTTTCACTGCTTCCACTTTCCCCTTGTTAACATACAGGTTGGAGTGACTATGCAATATACCACAATGATCCACAGTAAACAAAATATTCTGTGGAAAGGAAGACCTCTAACAACAACAAAAAAAACCCAAACCCCAAAACACTGATGTATTGCCTACTGTTGATCTTTCAGTGAAATCCAGTGCATCCTGCATATTTGCTTACCTTAAGCTATTTACAGCATAATTTTCAAACAATAAATATGAACTTATATGGCAATAAACATCTTTCAAATAGGACTATATTCAGAATAAAGCTTAAAAGGAATGGCTGAGGCTGACTCTCTTACAAAAGTACCTTTTTAGGGACAAAGGCTTTGAACATCTACATAGCTTCCATCCAGTTCTTTGTAAAGCATATGGGAGTTTTGCGTAGTTGAGCAAAACCAATTAAGACCTCAAATTCACCCCACAGATATGAGAGAATATCAGGTGCAATAAGTTCTTCCTTTCTTTCAGCAACAACAAAAATATCCAGGTTTCAAAATTACTCATTTTCTTAGAAAAATATTTTGCATTATTACATCCTAGTACACAAAATCACAATTCATAGTAGGAACGGGTTTTACTTTTAACACTCTTAATGTATCTTTTATGCGACTCTTCAGGAAGGGGGGAAGGTGTATGGGACACAGGGATGACAATACAGGAAAAAAGAGACAAAAACCTTCGAAATGCTGACGTGTGACTATTTTGAACTAAGTTGGTCGCAGAAAAAAAGGTGTTTTCAGCATCACAACTGAAGTGACGCTAGAAAAGATTTTTACCAGCTTACAGACATGTTGCCTTTGTCATAAATTAGGTAATAAAGCTCCAATACCTGCTTATCTTGTAGGTCTGAAGAGAGTTCATAGCTCTCAGAAAGTGACCTTGACCTTTTAATAGCTTCTTCCTCTGCTTGTTTTCGCAGTATGGACGTTGAGTGCTGAAGTTTCGGCCTCCGAGATCTTTGTTGTCCAGGGGAGACAGAATACAGCCCGTAAGCAGAATGATCGTAATGGTCTGGACTTACAGCTGAACTGTGTGTTATAGGTCCTTGACGGTAAGTAGAGGGGCTATCCAAAGATGTGCCAGTTTCACTGCTTGGAGCTTCACCCTCAACACTAGACAGAATGAAAAGACAGGAAAATCCTCAGGTGAGAATTGTATTCCAAAAGTCTCAGTAACAAATAGCATAGTTTTGCTTGGTATCATTTTATGTAGACATCCAGCTCATTTTGTTCAAATTCAGATGCAGTTAGTACAGGGTAATGTGGCTTTCAGGTCAAACACCAGAGTTTTCACTGTAATCTAAGCAAGTCTATTTCTGTTGCAGAGGTCATCTTTAGAGCATGAGTCAAGCAGAATGGAGATTTCAAGCATTATTTAACTCGATACAGGAATTACTAACAACACCCTGAGTAAGTCACTCAGCATCTATAGTGTAAAATAAACAAAACCTTTTAATTTCTAAGACTGCTCATTTCCAAGTTGTTCTATTTCAAAATGACAGATGCTTATTTGTGTCTTTCCTTGCTTTGACAAATAAAAGCAATACTTTCTTACTGTTATATTACAGTTTGACATAAAAGGATTACTTTCACATTACTCAAAGGAGATTTGGGATTTAATGGATCTTGTGAGCTACCGTGTTTCTAGAAACTGAAGTTGGGAAAACATAACTACAGGAGAAATCTCATTTGTTTCTCTGTTAGTGAAAGATTGCTCCCATGGGATACTTTTGGCATACTTTGTAGTAAAGCATCCCAAGGGATGGTGTTTCTAGCTAATGAAAGCAAAATAGTTTCAGGTAGGGAAAACACAATAGGAGCTATCTAGCAAATAAAAGACTTCTTTTTCACATGAATGCTGTTGTTGCTAAGGAATAAAGGAAAGGAAAAAGCTTTATATTAAAGGAGATGTGCACAGTAGGAAACATTTTAAAACTGATTCCTAGTCAAGGTTTATCCTGAAGTACTGATGACTAATAGTAATTTGTATTTGGTTTATGTTTACAGTAGGGCAATCTCACATTGCAATAGGGTATGCACTTGCACTCTTCCACAGTATGCCTTCACATAAATATTTACTATATGCCTCATCCTGTGTACACAGAGCATTGATAGAAAAATGAAATTTTACTCCTTTTTTAATCACTCAAAAGACTTAGTAAAACACTCCACACATGCACAAATACAAGCATTTGCAGTACTTCCCCTACCTTTTGTTTTAGGTACATCCAAACTCTAAAGGAGTAAAATTCCACGATCCCACCATGCTCTGTGTTTCTTATTTTGCTTTCATTCACAAGCATATGAACATAAAAATAAAGCCCTCCTGTAGCCTATCAGAAACGAAATGCTGTGACCCTTGCGGCACACACATACCACAACAGTCCCTTCAACAGTTCAAAGTACAGAGCGATTTCTGAAAGAACATTCTCCACTGGACCGCAGTGCCAGAAGAGATCAAGGTTAATGCTGGCAAAACTCTCCCTAGCTTGAACAGTCTGTACTTTTTAAAGTGAAAGACAAAAAAGTCCCTTAGATTTCTCAAAACGTTTCTACAAACACGTAAAACTGAAAGCAAATCCTTGTTCTTTGCCCATCAAAATATGACTCTACCCGAAAGGTATTTTCAAACATAGTTTACCCAAGCTGGAAATACTTTCAGTGTGCACACGTCACTTTTTCCAAAAAGGAAGTTGACAGGAAACTAATCCCTTTCCCTCTGTGATACAGCTGGCTTTCAACTTAAAAATGATAAAATATCCAGAGTTTTGCTTGTGACATTGAAACTGTGTAACCACCCATTGAAAACAAACAAATCATTCTCTCTAATGTACCCATTAAAGAAATTACTATGATACCGAACTGCTTTACATTCTCTCTTTAAATACTAAAATACATTTCTCTGTTCTGCTGTGCATCACAGGTTCCTAACCACAAGCTTATTTTTAAGTACTTTTCATACAAGTATGGTAAATTAATTTTTAACAGGAAGTCAGGAATTATCACTATTTCCCCCTTCTTAGGTTCTGTGACTTTTTTGCCTTCCTTGCCCTTAAACTGTTAACTATTTAATAATCCTTCCACATTGATTATAATCTCATATTGACATTTTAATAATAATACCTTCAATGGATCACTTAACCTTTTCATCAACAAAAAGGGTACTGCCCTAATCAGAAAAAATTGGAAGGGGGTCTACCCAAGGCTCTGATTAGGTGTTGATTCTTTATTTTTAGTTTGTCTTTTGTACTTTTTCTAGACATAAATACGATCCTTTACTGACCGTAACACTCAAACTCATTTTGCTCATGGACCTATTCCCTGCCATCACATCTGACCTTTGAAGCAGGGAAGTAATTACCTTTTACAACAGGCAGCCTCCTGCACAACCATAGAACAGCCCTTTAAAGCAAACAAGTGTGCACAGCCAGTACTGCGTGTTTAAAGGCGTTCTATTCAGCTCTTCCTTGTCCGTTAAGAGCAGCTGAAGCTTCATATGAGTTATTTCGTAAAAATGAAACTCCACTGACAAAGAAAAGCAGCTTGCTTTCTAATTCTTACTACTCTACATACGTTTGGAAAAAAAAAAAATATTTCAACAAAGTTGTGCGAAGCTTTAAGGATGACCAGATGTATTGCTCCACTATGGAGTTAAGTGCACACAGAGCATCATGGAACAGGAGTGTGGAATTGAGAATCATCCTGGCAGTGTCTATTTTGAAAGACTATTGCTAAAAAGGGTACCTTAGCTTCAAAACAGACTTGGAACACAAGCTAGTCACTGCAGGGTTACAAGGGTGATTTTTACCTACCCACTTACGAAGAATGCCAACACACAAAAGTGTCAGGGATTCTGCTCCAGACTTGCAACAAGAATTGGAGTAAGACCCCTGTGACTAGGGGAGTAGTTAGACACCTCTCTAACCCTCGGTCTTCCTCAGATGGGTGAGAAATTAAGTACAATAGGTACACTGCAAAAATGGACAATATAACAGTTGACCCAGTCTGAACTGAAATTCGAAAGACCTTATTAGTAAAGGTCTCTGTTTTGAGGCATCTGCCACCTACCATACACGCCCAGTAGAATTACTGATAATTTCAGTGCTTAAAAAAAAAAATCTAGTGGATGAATTTGGTTCATCTCTGCAGTGTGCAATGGCATATTACTAGGGAGACTGGCAACATGTTGAGTATCCCAACTGTGTAATATTAGGAGAATGCAAACCAGCTGAAATCAACCTTTCGTTTTTAGAACTCTGATTGTCTGATGACACTCCTGCTTCAGCAGAAAACAGACGTTCATTATCTGCCAAGCCAGAAAAAGAGAAAGGTTGCCTGCCAGTATTTTACAAAGAAGCAGAGAATGGAGCAGTAAAGACTGAAGATGGAAATCAAATATTTAAAAGTAATTAGTACCATTAGTATGACTTTGCATGAACAAAATTTTAAAACACAGCCATGGAAAAACTTTGTTTCTTTGTACATCTAAATTATTTTTCTGAAAGAGTGGCCAGTACTGACTGAATCAGTATTTTATCAGAAACTGACACTGGAAGTTTCTTCCTGCCTAAACCTCAACTTGTAATACTGTTAAAAAAAAAAAAAAAACCAAACTAAAACACCACTGTATCAAGGAACAATAGGGAAGAAGAAAGGCTTACAGAAAAATGGAAACAGACTGTGTGAAGTATTTTTAACACAACTCAACGGATACATAAAACTATTGGTGAAAATCAGATTAATTTTACTTTTTCTAATGACTATAAACAAGTACTAAATACCAAACACAGATGGATTCAGGCGTTTTCTTCTGTGTATATATGGGTCTAGACTTCCTGCAAGAGCCAAGCCACACACTCTGTGAACATTTTTAAATTAAAATACATCAGCTGAAGTGACATACGTGCACGCAAGTAGGATCTGCTGGCTTCATCAGCAGAGCAGCGTGATAAGGGTCATCCCCGCAGCGTGGCTAACACTGTTTTAGCCATGATGCACATCGTGCTCTAACAGCAACAGAAGCAAAACTCACTCCTTGGTCTGAATCAAAGACTAATACCAACGCGCAGGCAGTGACTGCCAAAAGCTGCTTTTCTAACTCATTTGCCTGGATGTCAAAGCTGAGTAACCTGGTGTGTGGCTGTGTCTTTGGACTGAAGTAGCATACGATAGATCCGAGCTGACAAATTGTGAAGTAGATGTTGTTGCTAGCTAGAAAGAGGTCGTGGTTATTTACAGGTGATAAGTTCATTTCAAGAATTACCTATTAAGAAAAATCTCTTCTCCTCCTCCCTCTGTCTAACCACCAAATGCAGTTGAGTGGTTAACTGTGACCAAACCAAAACATTTCCTCTCTGGCCATTTTAGCAACATAAACCTGTCAGGCCTTTTCTTCTCCGTCTCTCATTTTATACTTTCAGTTGTTACTTCTGATCACAACAGCTGTAATTAGTAACCAGTACACTAAAACCACTATCATATTTTAAAACAATGTATTATTCAGGCTGTTAGAATATCTACTGTTCTTCTTTGATTTATGTTTCATTTTCATATTCATACCTTTTTCCTTCAAATCTTGCCAAACTACTATCTCAGCAAAGCCAAAAATAGGCACAATAAAGACAAAATTTTGAGGAACAACAAAACTTCAACATTTGAACTTAAAATGGAAACTGAGGAGAGTCATTAAGACCTAAATATCAGTAAAGAACAACCCCCAAGCTTTTCCATGAGTACAGCCTTACTTGTTCCACTGACAACAACGGCAAAGTTAGAGCAGCTGCAGGTTCGGATCCACCGGCACAAGCACTTAACTCTCAGAGCAACTATACTAGGAAAGAAAGAAATGATAACCAGAAAAGCAGAAACTCCCTTTTTACCAAGGTCCAGTACCTTATCTTTAAAACTATGTGCATGTAAAGAGGAAGTATATAACAATAACAGCAGATGCAAGGAGTTATTCAGTATTCCCACTCACTCCAGAAACCTCACAGTTTGCAAGTAGTGAAATGTTCTGCATTTGTAGGACTAAAATACAAAGATAATGAGAACATATGCTTACAGAAATAATCCAAATGTTCAAACCAGTATGTTGCAGATTTAGTTT